TACAACACTGCTCCTTCATTAACATTGTCAGTTTCTCCTTCAATGTCGAATTCTGTTGCAAAGGGCACCATGGAAAAAAAAAACTTTTTTTTACCAAAACAACTGCCACATATAACACCCTCAATAAAACCCTTGCTTTGCCCTTTTAACATCTCCTTTGTAAACTCACAGTTTTGTGTCACCATTTATCAGACACTTTTTTTTTTTTTACGAAGATTTTCACATTCACACAAAATAATATCATTTTAAGCAGAATATGCAGTCATCTTTTTAACCATGTCAGTTCTGTTTCTCAGAATTCTGTTCAATCTTGCAAAAAGACTCGATTTGTTGATCACTACCAATAGTCCTCAATCCTCCAATTCTGATTCTGGGATTTCCTGGGGACTATACAGAATGAGGTAATATTTCCTAAATTAAAAGCACTGCACAATGCACTCACTCTGAGGTCGTAGGCCAACGACACCAGACCCCCGCTATGACCCATCAGATTGACGCACATCTCTGACTTTTCCAGTCCTCGGTTTCTTGGGAGAAGTAGAGGGGTATTCACCTTCAAGGCACTGTGCTTTTTGAAGATTCGACAGAGTGTCTCATACACCGTCTGCTGGACAACGGAGGCCCTGAAGGAAAACCCCTAGGAGAGATTTCACAAAGTTTGAAAAGCAATGTTCAACTTCTTTGGTACTGCCTTGTAGTCCCATTGCAGATGTTATTTACTGAGCACTGCACTATGCATGGTCCACTCAAAAACCTCCATCCTTCTGAAATCCACTCTCAGTGGTCGAGGGGTCAAGATATTTGCACTAAGAGGCTGGAAATTGTGGGGTCGCATTTGTATAAACAAAGTTTTAAAAATGTAAACAAATCCGTGGGGAACACATACAATCCCAGACTAAAAAAGCTTCCTTATGAAAATGTTCCAAAAGTAAAGATTGAAGAATTAAAGAAACTTATCAAGGAAAATTTGGCATTTATTCCAGTTTTTATGGCAGGCTGACTGACGTGCCAAAAAAGTCCTTTGTCTCAAGAGAAACAAAAGAGGCAGTGTGTCAGTGACCGCCACTAACAATACCCATTTTGCATAAAAAGCATGGCCCATTATCATGCAGGTACTAAGAAGAAAGCACTACTCAGCAACTTTTTTCATAAAGCAAAAAACAAAAGCAGGAAACCAACCTCGAGTGATAGACTTGGCATTGTCATTTGGCTGGTAACCAGTTCCTGCTAAGCCTGTATATTTTGTACTTAGTGTAAACGTGAAACTGACCCACGATGGCCACTTACTTTATGCATATCCATATCGTACGTGAAGTCAGCAGCGGCCGGTACCGTCTGACTGAACAGCTCTTGGATGATGTGTCTGTAGGCTTTGGACTGGCTGTTAGAGAGGGTATGTCGGAGCATCTCCTGAAGGCGGGCGTTTTCCATCTGAGGCGGTGGGAGGTGCTTGGATTGGAGGAGCTCTTGGGCCGTTGGGCGCACCTCCGGGTCGTGGTTGAGGAGCCAGCGCAAGACGAAGGCCTCATTTTCGTGCTTGACTTCGTCAAAGGTGTCCGGGAACTGGACATTTTTCTAGGGGCAAAAAAAGTCATTATTAAAATAGTATATCTTGACTGTCTCACACTGATTCCAACAATTTGAGTGAACCATAATTTTTACTCATAAAGACAATTCTATTATAGTTCCTAAATACCAAAATATTGCAAACTAGGTGTTTAACTTTTGATAGATTGGGGCAGTTCCAGATTAACAAAAAGATAACTTTACTCTTGAAATTTCAGCAAATGTATCCTTAAAAGTTAATTACATTTGAAATTCTAAAGAAACCTTTGAAAAGAACCTCAAAGGTGAAGACATTTTTTATTTATCTTCAAAAACTCTTAGTTTGGAATTAATAATGGGACACATACACATATTTCGAGGATTTAACCATTTGCTCACAGTATCATTTAACGTCACACTTGTACCGTCACCTTGAGGTGAAACAACTGGCTTTTTAAGTCTACAAGATGCCACAGCAGACAACTTTGACAAAAATGGACTTTCCCGTTGCTGACCCAGGGTGGTTGCTTGATCAAGATTTGTGTGTATTTCTTGCCGCATCATCAATTTTTTAAATCTTTAAGCCTATGTCACAGAGCAATATTTGCTATCACACATGTCTGTGGCCTGCCCTAGCCTATCCAAGAGCTCCACACGTTCTCAACCTTCCAATGTCTCGTTTAAGCCTCCGTGTGTGTACAAACTCAATGGGAAACACTCAACCATTGGGAGGAGACCAGATGTCACGTGGCACCACATACAGAGTCCACCGCAACACACTCAAATGTCCTCCATGCTACAACACAGGAGATCTCTGCATGTGTTCACGTCGTCCGGTACGAAGAGGTTAACTTGCAAGAGAACAAGGATTTACCTGTCTAACTTTCCCCAGCATTTGTACTCGTTCCATGCCAGTAGCCAGCGGTGGATTGCACATTTCAAAGAAGATTATACCTAAACTATACAAGTCAACTTTCTGAAAATAAACAAAAGGGCGGAAACAGTGGTGAGGTGGAGACAAATTGGCTCACAAACAAGAATGATAAATGCCGCATGAAACTCACAAGCATATTTTTACACGCCATGAATCAATGAAGAGGAATATGGAATGAGATGAGATGAGATGAGAATAAGGCGCTTCAAAAAATAAACAGACCAAGTTGCTTGGTAAAGCAGAGTTAGTGAGTTAATAATCAGATGTCAGTTGCAATGGCATCAATATTAGAGGTATTTTGCCAACAATAAGTCCAATAAGCCTTTTGCGAGTTAAATTTGAATAAAATCTGGTACACTGAATTCTTTAAATTCATTTGAACATAACACTTTGAATTCTCCACACTAAAAACACTGTTGCTATACCTCATGATTCGGGGCAAGCTTTTGCTTAGTTACATAAGAGACGTCTTGCAACAATACACTGTTCTCAGTGGATAGGAAGGGCACAAAGGAATCAGTCCATTCCAGAAATGGTGGTTGCTATGCAACAGCTTGCCCCAAATCACAAGATATAGTAACAATGTCTTTAGTCTGAGGAATTCAAATTGTTATGTTCATCTGCACTCAGGTAACTCAGTGTACCAGATCTTATTCAAATTTAACATGCAAAAGGGTTATTGGTCGACAGTTTGTGTGGTTTGTGACATCATATGTACCTTCCTACCAATTACATGTGCATTTGGTACATAAAAATGTATTGAATTGTCAAATTTCATTTGCCGTTCTTTGCATTTATGTCCATCATGCATGACTGAGTTGAACATGATAAACATGTAGTTTATTTTCTACATGGCGTGGAGTAGGATCAGCTGCATATGTGAGGTTCTTCACTGAAGACCCCCTGCATTTTGGAATGCCCAATAGCTACAGTACAGGTCAGAATTTTAGCCAACACACTAACATGATCAGTGAACCTGGTACGCTGTCCAATACACGGTAGTGCAGACCCGACTTCCTTTCATTTCGGTACAATCTTTGTCAAAATCAGAGATTTGTTTAGGTAAAACCAAAAGTGTTGCCTGCATGGCACTTTCATCAATCCTGTATGGACAAACAACACGCTTCATCTTCGCAAATGATTTTGTGATGCCTGCTACATACAAGGTAAACTAATGACCACATTTCCGTGGAATTTGAAGATAACTTGAGCTGCAGTCAAACTGAATACTTTTCGTTGTCGGAAACTAGGACAATGACCACTCCCGTCAACAAAGGCCTGGCTGTTTTGGGTTTTACGTGTAGTGTGTCCATGTTTATACTCAGCAGATTGGATTGCAGTGACGGCGTTCTCTGTTATGCAGGGATCAGCGTGTTCCATGTTTGCGGTTAACTCCTTTTGTGTCTGTTTGACTCAATACACGCTGACACGCTAAGCGTGTTTGCGTGTCGACTAAAATTCTGACCTGTACCTTACAAATGTGTGAGAAGCAAACAATGGGATGATTTGCAATGGTTACGTGGAGCGTACGCATAGCCATTTGCATGCAAACTCCACTCTGTCAAACTCGGTACCTGGTTATAATGACTGCTTTTAGCCTGACACAACTCCGGACTGACGTAGAGAGCAGTGCCCACCTTTCCAGTCAAGTGACTCCCCGTCCCTATCATACAAACAAAGGAGGGTTTGAGAAATAACTTGGGCTGGCAACGGTTCATAATTGTAAGTATGATTCCGAAGCTGCGGTTATTCCGCCAAAATACATGTATCAATGCAAAATGTGAATGTAGCATTGGGTCCTTGTTACAGACACACAAATGAAATAACCTCTTGGAACTCTGTACAAGGAAGTTGTCCATGCAGATCACAAAAAGAAACAGATACGTAGTGAAGTTGATTGGCCTTTTCTTAATAAGACACCAATGTGCTGGTACTTCAATGTGTAAGTCAGTGGCCACAGCGGTTTACACGTCAGAACTGCCAATGTGATTTATTTGATGATTCAAGGGGGTGTGGCAAATATCATGGAAGGGGAGTATCATGTGACTCCAGGGTCCACTTCTCCCACTACCTTTCGGTCTCTTTCTGAGCAGATAAAGTGTCTAGGATTACGAGTTTCTCCAACTCAGACATGGAGCACAGATGGACAACTCCTTCTGGTAAAGATAAATTTGGAAATTCATTTGCTTACTCAGAATCTAAATGAAATCTTTAAAAGATTTGTTTTTTTGGGTACTAACCCACGGTTTGCTACATGTACACTCGTGGGTGAGTAAAAATGTGACTCAGTCCAGGCAAAATGAATCACAAGTCTCCTGACCCACTTTTGAGTCAACAACCTTTGGACATGATGACTTGAAAAGTTTAATGAAGCTTAGTTTTAGTTGACATTAAATCAAAGAAATCTCATAAAAGTCGATAAGACCTGAAGCTTTGCATGGTGGAGATAGAGTAACGACAGAGCTTGTGGTAAAAAATCATAAAAATCACTCTGTTTTGGTCCGAAAGTATGAAGTAATTTTAGAAGTGCCATAATCCGGGGCTGGTTCCTCAAATCAAGAAAGAGGACCTTGGGCGCCCGGTTTTCATGCGCTGCTCTACTTCGTCATGCTTCCCTGGCCAAAAGATTCTTACTAATTGCAAAAATCTATTTTTTTCCCTGGTGGCTACTAAAGTCACGGAACCAAAACAGGAGCAATTAACTACATGTACATGTACTGTTAATCTTTGGAAATGTCTAACATGCATCACTTGCCCCTTTTCTCTGAATTCCTCACATGCAATAATATCTTGACATTTGACTGCTTTTTCTTAAATACAGTAGTACCACTTTTGCATGATGGTGATTTTTAGAAATAAACAGACTGGCGCATAGTGTATTCCAAACATTACATCACAGATCTTGCATTACATATTCTACTTTGGTCGGTGATGGCTACCAAACCTACAATTATAAATATCAGGGGCATTGGGAAGTCTGGGAGCCAGACTAAGCCCTACTGTGCACCAACAGCCCAAATTCCAACGTCTCTATTGCCTTACCGGTGCTTGCTTCCAAAATCTGAGCTTCATGTAGGTCCCCCTGGGGTATGTCGGGTAGTGCAGCCGTTCCCATATTCCCTGCGGTTGCCAGGCCAAAATCACCGATCTTGACTAGGTCATTGGAGTCCAGGAAGATGTTGACCGGCTTCAGGTCTCTGTGAATCATACCCTAATAGATGGACACAAAAAGCAAAGGAATTCGACATAAATGCCATCATTTGGCTTGAGACAAAGAGGCTATATTCGATGTCTGAATCCCTCACGTGCTGAGACATGGCTTCATATGACTATTACCACCGAAGCAGAAATCTCTTTCAGGTTGGAGCTAATCTCTCTCTCACCGAAGTACAGACCTTAACCCTTCAAACCATCACTTCTTGGAGGAATGAGGATTATTTGGTTAAAGGACATTATTAAGAGCTTGCATAAGGACACTAAAATCTGCAAGGACTGCAGCAGGTATATCAAGATCTTTGTAAAATCCTGGCCATCAAATTGGACAAAGCCAGTTGGTACTAAAATCGTCATGGTTTTTCACATTTGCCAACACATGTACATGTAGTTCCAGTTCCTAAAGTAACCTCCATAAGCTACTTCCACAATCTTTCTTTACACAGCAGTAGTCTTACCGAATGAGAAAGAACACAGGGCTGAGAAACTCAGGCTAATATTTGCTGTTTGACCCCCCTAAAAAAAACCTTTTTTGTGACCTTTAAGAAGGAACAACCTTTTTGAAATTTGGCATACATCTAAACACATTGTAACTATTGAATCTGACAAAATATTGAATGCTTTTGTTGTTATGGCTATTTATATATAGTTCCTCCTTCTAAGCATCGTAAAGAGAATCCAGAATTGATGAGATTTAATAGTTTTGGCCTGCCTGTGTTGAAAAAAAGGATATTTTACAATGTCATGTCAGGTAATTTTCCTAAAGTTGGTGTCAAAATGACTGCAAAGCATCACCATAAAACCTCCACAAGGCTTGGCACAAGAAAAACAAAGTACAGGATGCCAAAGAACTATCCTCAAAGATGATGTACAGTGCAAAGTCTTCAGATATGGACCCCGAGCGGGATCACAAGAGGGCGCTTTTTCCCTCACAATGGAGGCTCCTCTGGGAGCTGCACTTGGCTGGTTCACGAATGACTATGACATGCAAGCGCTGCGGTCGCACCGCTACCAACAAAATGAACACTCCCCACCAACATGGCTCTTGAGGAGGTGCTTCCGCTCATAGCAGGCATCACCTTCCAAAATCTGCCAAAGCCAATTCCAAAATCTCCCTTTCCAGACCCCCTCCAACTTACCTGTGAGTGTATATGCGCCAGTCCTTCCACCGTCTCCCTCAGGTATCTCCATACCCTCCTCTCATCCTTGTACAGGCCCTGATCGATGGCCGTCCTCAGCGTGCTCTTCTCACAGAACTCCATCTGGATGTAGAGGTACTGTAGGGGCCGGGATGGCTCGGCGTCTTGAGGAGGAAGATTGCCAGCGTTTCGTTTCTTCCCTTCCTCCTAACACAACAGAGGAAATGAACACGGCATATTTTTACAGTTACAAGAGGTTCGGTGGTTTACAAGAATCTTGTTTGTTGCATTCGGGATATTCCAACTGCATTGTTCTTGAGTGATCATGCATCTTCTCCATCAATATTACTGTGACATGATTGATACCAAGCATACAGTGGCATGGCATCCTCGAGAAAACTGAAAATGGAGGGCACAATGAAGAATTCCTCAGTTTTCAGATGTTGAGGGGAAACTTTGAAACAAACTGCCATGGAATGCCCCCTCCCCCAAACAATCTGATACGGACGGCAAATTCAATCCACTTGTTAGACTAGGTTGGATTCGAACCCTGATCAGAAAGGTTGAAAGTAACAAAACTGCATTACATCACCCCGTCTCCCACGTCCTTGCCACTGTTGTGGTCTAACATTCAAAAACCTCTTACATCAGCCACTGAGGACCAGATCATCAGTGAGTGCACTCAACGGAGTGACCACGACACTGAATTTTCTGTATAACCTAGGCCAGTTATTCAGATTTCCAATATGTGAACAAACAAAACCGGTACCTGTTTGGATTGGAAATTCTCACTGGAGTCAGAAATGGCGTTGGTGTGCTCAAACTCAATACCATCAGATGAATCGGAATAAGGCCTGGGCAAAGTAAAAAACCAGAGGAAGTCCTAAAACCTGGGAATAATCATTTTTATAAAGCATCTGAATAAATCCCAATGATCTGATTGCTGGATCATCGATCATGTGCCCTGAATTATTTGATATAATCAATGGTCAACTGTTGATTTTACCCAATTAAATATACCATTGTCCTACCTACCTGGTAATTGAAGCCGTCGCTGTTTGCATAATCATGTAATTTTTGGTGATACTGATTAACACGAAACATCATTCCAGGGTCTTAGAATTACTCTGGACTTATTCAGGTGTTGTATGAAAAAAACAACAAATATTTCTTACTTGTGCAATGGAAAAAATAACATCTTTCAGTGGCAGGTTGAATGCTTGTTCAATATGGCTTGGCCTTGTGGAACACAACATTTAGTCTGTCACCTCGTTAATCTTACCACTGCACTCATGAGCATTATTCTTATATGTCAGCGATGTACCAGGCTTGGCGTATATTTCTAATACAGTGCAAAGTTCAAAGGGAATGTTTTCATCATGGGATAGTTGAGGATAACACATGCGAATGGGCCTGTTTGGTTTTTCAACAGCGCGTGCTTAAAAAGAAGTGCGTTGTGGGTCATTCCAGAGCAGCAATATGAGTGCACAAGGTGTGACGTCAGGGGCCTTGTTCATCGCCTTTTTTGAAATACTGAACGGGATAATTCACAACTGAAATACTGTAGATGTATAGTTGCATTGGTTTTAAGTTTAACTGTTATGTCACACAATACTCACATGAAGGAAGGCCCAAAGACGTCGTCTTCATCTGATGATGAATCGCTGCTGCTATCTAACCTGCCCGTATCATGAGATGAACTCCAATCCAATGAGCCTAAGGCACCTGGATATCAAAGCAGAAAAAAGGCACTGCAGTTTGGTTCATTTATAGAAAGTTAGGGTCACCACTGTGATTGTGCAACAAATCCTGCAAAGTCACAGTGGAAAACGGAGCTTCTCAGCTATACAGATTACCGAGTGAAGAAACGTAGTGTACAGAGATTCCTGAACCTGCCACGTCCTCGTTAAATTTTTGCAGTTGGATGCTGCCATTTCAAAAAAGCAAGGCCAGAATAATTTTATATGTGTCAACGTAGAATATGATACGTAAATGATGTGTGTATTAAAGTTAATCCAAACATTGCCAAAATTACTCACAAGAAGTTGAAATCTAGTCAGCCCATCAAGATTCTTAAGAAGTTGGCTGTGGGGTGAGCTTCAACATTTATACAAGCACACGTTGGTGATACTTGCTTGATTGACACTTTCTAGTAAGGTTTTCATATCTGGCTATTGTAGTCATCTTTGAGTCTAGCAGAATAAGGGTTTTTGCATCACCACAGACGATTCAGGAAGTAACCGTCTACTACCTAGCTTCATTTCATAAGAACTTTCCAGTCACTAATGAAAGGTCCACAAAATGTATATCATATTGTGGCATGTTTTCTTTTACCGTATTTGTCACAAACTCAAATATATCATGTTTTATGCTTTCAACTCAGAGCTATGGGGCGGTACTTACTAAAACTGACTTTAGGAGCTAATTTCTCGATGTCGTCTGAGATGCTGAGACTATTCTTGTCCTTGGTAGGTTGTCTGGTCTCAGGTGGGAGTCTCTGATTGGGACTAGTGGTTGTCATGGTAGTGAGCGAGTCCGAATCAGTCTCAGTAGATGGAGGGGATTCAGCTACTTCTATCCAGGAATTGAAATATCTGAACCAGAGCAGACAATGTCAGATTCTGTTCCAATAATCCACTTTGGAATAAATATCTAATATGGACATTCCTTTGTTATCATGTAGTTCAAAGAAAGCCCTTATATTTCTCACACTGCAAACACAACTATAAGCTCATTTCTTTTGACGTTTCTCTCCATTGTTCCTCTTCGCCTACCCCCAATGGAGCTGTTCAGTTTTCATTTGAATGTGCACAAAACATACAGCATCTTAGCATGAGAGTAACAGACCTAGGAATGGCCAGAAGCTGGGCTCCCAGAATTTCATAAAAACAAAGTTCCTGGAGTCTTCCTTGATGAATTTTCAAAATAACAGGATAATTATTTCGACCTACTTCCAGTTAAACACATCTTCAATGTTATTGAAGACACGTCAGATGTGGGCAAAATGTATCACACTGACGAGGCTACCTTTAAGGCAAATCAAATTCTCCAATTTTTCTCTGATAAGAGCCATTTTTGTCAAATTCCCTGACTTTTCCAAGACTTGAAAAAGGGTACTCATTTTCCAGGGTTTTCCTGATTTCCAGGATAGCTGGTAACCCCAAATGGGCATAAACTGCACTCATCCATGAAAATTTCTGCCACCTTTCACTGCTGAAGCAAAGTGAAGCTTTGTGCACATTCACATGAAAAACAGAGACTTTATGTTCGGGCCTACCTAACCACATTTTCATGGTTGAGTCTGGAGAGAAGCTTGACCTCCCTGGTAATCTTTCGGTTTAACTCGCGGCTCTTTGGGTTCAGCAAGATCCTCTTGATGGCATAGGCATTGCCATCCAACTTGTTCAGTACCTGAAAATTGTGATGGGAATTTTTTTCAAATGGTGCTTTCATATTTAAAAATTGATCAGAAAAAACAATTTAGTTTCAGGAAAAAAATCAGAACACTAAACATTTTGGTTAGATTTACAAGTATTTGGCCAGTATTAAGTTCAGTCTTTAAATTATTACAACTTGTCCTTTTAGGTAACCAACTGGTGTGGTTGTTACCAGAAAACTTACAAATATGGCATGTTTATTGTAAACATATTTAATTACACACAGAGCTTTATCAGATTTTCACTACAGGTCTGGAGTGACAAAAGGCCTCCTTGTAAACATTCAACTTCAAAATTCACCCTCCGATAATTGTTCACAAGCTTTCCTAAGATATGCAAGTTAATTTTTCAAAAAGTACCGTACCTTTGTAACACTTCCAAATCCTCCCTTGCCTAAAAAGTCTAAGACTTCGAACTCACTCCTAAGTCGGGAGTGGCCTAGATGGACATCATAACTCTGTGGTTCTGGTATACTGACCTCGGTTTCTCTGTCATTGCCTGTAGTAGGATAACCTCAGAAAATTGACAAACACTCAGCAACATTGTATCCGAATGTGGGAAAACACCCTCAAGACAGAATTACATTCTACACCACTTTAAGCGATATATACACAGGGAAATTACTTTCAAGTTTTTTTATAAAATGTATGTTTTTAATCACAAATCTCCAAACTTTGCTATATAAGCGTAGAGAACTTTTTTGTGCGTGATCTGTGATTCCCTGTTAACATGGGTGCCTGTTTCATCTCACGTCTGTTGTACTTCTGTTTTTATTTGCCAGGTTGAGGAGGGGGAAAGTGGCTGGTTGGAGTTTATTTGTTAATCAAACTTATCATTTGAATCTCTGCGCGGCTGTTAAATGAAACCACAGACCTTAATGTCCTCCTATCTTGAGAGTCATGGTTACCACTGTTCAGTGTCCTCCAACTCACAGAGGCAACCTAGTGGTCCACTAAGTGTTATTCGTTTCCCATCGTGTTTATAAACTAACCCCCAAGCTTGAAAATCTGGCTCCAAGTGTAACATTTGTGGTGCCACATTTACATTTAGGAAGAAATCTTCTCTCACAACATAATTTCAAAGGAAGAAGATGCCCATGATCATGAAATCGATTCCTTTTTTTTTTTTTTTACACAAAAAATAAAAATCTTTTCCAAGATGCCTAAAATGGACTAGACCTGAACACACATACATGTGCACACAAAAAAATAAGGTTAGGGTGATCCTTTTGGTGGGCGGTAACCTCCATGTTAAGGCTATGGCGTCTCCCACCTCCCGCATTTCCAATATTTTTCATCAAGTCCCCATTCAATTTAAAAATTCAGAACTAAGAGAACTTTGCTGCTCATATCAGACCTGATGAGTTGACATCGCTTGGAAGATTGCTGTTTGTTTCAAGTGAAGGTGAGATGGAAGGTTTAATGAATGGATGATCCAGTAACGACACGGCCGAGGAACGGTTTCGCTCATCGGTATCAAGACATCTGTATAAGGAAGAGAAGAACAGTCAAACACAACCAGTCATGTCTACGGCTGGAATAAGAATGCCAATAAATACAGCCACTCCATTTAGCCAAGCTACCAAGTCCCTTTGAGAAATTTCGAAGAACAAAAGCAAATGGCGGAATCTGTAGCACGCTTCTTAGAACATACTAAAGACCCACTTTTTGCAGATGCGCATCAGAAATGGTCCTTCAGTTGCATGTGTACATTACCAGTACCTCTTTTGCTCTTCACTGACAAAGAACACAGCAAAACATGTTTCCTGTTTCTGGGCCAAAATTCACTTTGGAGTGGGCGATGCGTGGTGACACTTTTTTGAAGAGACACCTTTCTCAAAATCTTAACGTTATGTAGGAGAATATGGCCCAGTGGTTAGGGTTTGTGACTCAAGACTCAAGGGGTTGTAGGTTTGAATCCAGCCTCTGGCCAAAGGTTCCAGCCTTAGGCTGGTCATCCCCCCCAGCCACCCAGGAGTAAAAATGAGTACTCTGGTACAGGTCAGAATTTTAGCCAACACACTAACACGATCAGTGAACCTGACACGCTTTTCAATGTATGCTTTGCGGTTTTGACCGTGCATTGCTGGTTCAATGCACGATCAGCCTTACCCCGACTTTCTGATCTCAGCAGGGCTTGTGACCGCAGACCGCAAAGGTCACCTACAATGTGTAGTGAACCACTGCACACACAGGGCCATCACTTCAGCCTCGTGTGTGCGTGTACATTATATATGTACATGTACACTGTATGGCAGCGCACTGAATAAGTGAAATCACATACATGTACAAGTACGTGTAATGCCCGGCTGGCAAGATGACCGTCCTGAAGTCCCGAAATATGTATCACTATCACAGCCATTTTCTTTTGGTTTTGGCTCACAAAAGTTGTTCAGTCGGATTGCATCTGGAAAATGTCAAATTTCAGTGAAACTACTACAAAACTTTTTGCCAAATGTAAGCTTTGAATTTTAAACTCACAGGTTTGACTGGAGTGACGCCAACGCTTTTCTTGCTGGTTCTAACGCTGGATCGGTTTTAAGCAATTCCTCATTGCGCGAGAAACTTTTTCACAAATAAACAGTAACCACAAAGGTAATCCATTCCTCAGCCAGAACTATTATAACAAGCTGATTTCACAATGAAGAATTTCTCATTTGATGGAAATTTATTTCAGGTATCAGAATTCCAGTAAATTAAAAGAACATCCACTGAACTTGCGTAAATTTTAACTTGCTTTTTTTATTTGCTACCACATATGCAGCAACCATGCCGCGACCAAGCAATCAGGAAACTACAACCACCAATCATAAATCAAAACAAGTGCATTGCATATTCATTTTGATACAGTGCCAACAAATGCAAAGCTACAGCCCTTCACATTACACGACATGGATATTTATGAAGTTCACATGGGGGCTATTTTGTCCGTTGTGTGCAGCCAGTGCATGCACGTCGCTAGTGCAGACCCAACTTCCTTTCATTTTGGTATGATCTTCGCCGTTCAGTTTGGTCCTAATATTGTCACAATCAGAGCGATTAGGTAGGTTTTCCAGCTCAAAGGTCGAAAACTGATGGGAAAAATCCCCACCTCACTTCGAATTTATATTCACGCAATTTGAACACACTGAGCTCAAGTGTGTATGCTAGGATCGCCGCCATGGGAGCCATCTTGAATAAAATTTGGCTGGTGGACTGGCAAGGTCAAATCCTGTTTATGTTTTGTGAATTTTTTACAAAACAGTTTTTTCCAATATTGGCAATGTTTGGTCATAGATACTGCTAGTTATAATTGTCTCGGTTGAAAAATTGATTTCAAGCTCGAATATTTTCTGCGCCTGATTCAGAAGTTTGGGAGCAATTCAGACATGAACCAAAAAGTGTTGCCTGCAAGGCACTTTCTT